GGTGTTATTTATCATAGAGTGCATATCTCCCAGCATTTCTCATGGCCAAAGATGGACACTTTAGGGATGGGGTGTGTCGCCAAGGAAAATGTAGGTGATTTACTGATAACAATTTATATAACTAAAATGTAATTTATAACAAGAACAATGTATCGTATTTACACAGACTGATTTCTAAACACATTTATTGTAGTTTAAAGACACATTACTGGGAGTATTATTGCTGTGGGCTCTGTTATACACTCAGACACATTACTGGGAGTATTATTGCTGTGGAGCTCTGTTATACACTCAGACACATTACTGGGAGTATTATTGCTGTGGAGCTCTGTTATACACTCAGACACATTACTGGGAGTATTATTGCTGTGGAGCTCTGTTGTACACTCAGACACATTACTGGGAGTATTATTGAGGTGGAGCTCTGTTATACACTCAGACACATTACTGGGAGTGTTATTGCTGTGGAGCTCTGTTATACACTCAGACACATTACTGGGAGTATTATTGCTGTGGAGCTCTGTTATACACTCAGACACATTACTGGGAGTATTATTGCTGTGGAGCTCTGTTATACACTCAGACACATTACTGGGGTATTATTGCTGTGGAGCTCTGTTATACACTCAGACACATTACTGGGAGTATTATTGCTGTGGAGCTCTGTTATACACTCAGACACATTACTGGGAGTATTATTGCTGTGGAGCTCTGTTATACACTCAGACACACCAACAATATGGAGCTCCTAGGAAAGAGGGAGATTAGGAGAGAAGAAAGAGACAGAGAGAATTGGGGTCAAAATAGGGACTATCGCTCCTAAATCGTGACACTTGGGAAGTATGATATTGTATCACAATTGGCTAGAATCCATGACTAGGTTAATACTGAAACCCGGGTATGTGCTCCTACATATCTACCACCATTAGGCGCAATGACTAAATTCTTGTAGCGCCCCCTATTTATAAGAAAATGTCCTGAACATTCTAATCTTAAAGAAACAGTGCTGTATTTCTGCTGTCCAATTGTTAAAGACACAAACCATGGGAACGCACACTAACTGACCCGTAGAAAGGGTCTGAGTACTTTATGAGCCATAAAATATTATCTTTCTAATAATGATGACAGCCGATGGATGTATTCAGAGAAATCCCTCAGAACAAACAATGTGTTATTCTTGGGGAGCAGAAAGGGTCTAATAATAAATGTGTACTATGTCAGGCATACATTTTACTTTATAAACAACACTCAGTGAAATAAACAGGGGGTGTTGCAGGTGTCAGACGAGGCAGAAGATGAGATTTGGGGTAATTACACTGAAACCAACGCCGGTTGCACTGAGCAGAGACAGCTGTAGGAGGCACTCGTCACATTACTATTTGTTCCTCGTCATTATCACTGATTTCTCGCAGTCAGTGTTGTGTGTTTTTTTTTTGTTGTTGTCATTATTAAATCATGATTCATGAAAACGGTAATTTCATAAAACCCACGAAAAACCCAGGAGCAGATCCAGACCCGGCGTGCTCTGAGTGACTATAAGTACAGCAGAGAGGCGCAGTGTCGAACATCATCCCGGCAGGACTGCACTTAGGTGAGTGCAACGCTATTCATATGTAGATCAAAGCTTAATTACTAAACAGCCAATTGTAAGAAATGATAAAAACAAACTGGCAAATTTATACAAAAAGTAGGGATTTTGAAAAAAAAAAGGCATTTTTAACTCTGCTATAGTTTAAAGCTTGGCTGTTTAACTAATAAGCTCCATAATTATAGAACGCAATGGATTGATTTAGATGTTACTGCTAGTTTGTAACACAGCACATACAGCATTCTGATTAACTGCTAAACGCTTTCTCTTCAGGAAACAAATATTTATAAACAGTAACATGGATTATATGTACAGAAGGTATACTTTGATTATTTAAAAGCTGAAGATATTATGTATTTATAAAGTACTTTTTATTATAGAAGAATGCAGTCACTATATTAAACACATTATTTAAATTCTGTAGGCTTAAATTAGAAGATAAAGGGGCCTTTTAATGAGTTATAAATAATTTCTAAATTTTTGGGGGGAATACAAACATTATTAATCTTTGTTTTCACATATTAAATATATTATATACATAACTACATATAGAGTATATAATGGACAACACATTAAAAAATATACGAAGGATAAAGTGTTTATAAAAAAAACACAAATAAGAGAGTTTATAATATATTGAGTAAACTATTTATAATATATAACAGATAAAGCGTTTATAATATATATTGAGAAAACAATTTATAATATATAACAAATACATTGCTTATAATATGTAATGGATACAGGATTTACAATAAATAACGAATAAGAGAGTTTATAATATATAACAGATAATAAATAGTGGATACAAGATTTATAATATATAACGAATGAGAGTTTACAATATATAACAGATAAAGTGTTTATAATAAATAGTGGATACAAGATTTATAATATATAACGAATGAGAGTTTACAATATATAACGAATAAATCGTTTATAATATGTAATGGATACAGGTTTATAATAAATAACAAATAAGAGAGTTTACAATATAAAACAGATAAATTGTTTATAATATGTAATGAATACATTGTTAACACATGAATATATATTTCCAGGACTGATTAAAGAAAAGTCCCAGGTTTAATGTAATTGGACGATAAGAATGAAATGACTCCGCAAACAGAACTTGTGTATTTCAGTAACCGTATTCATAGCTTGTAAATTGCTTAATTAAGGTTTAACCATTTCGCTTACAGCGAACGGAAGCTCTAATTACACGAATTATTCTATCTGTTCGTTGTACAATATGAATCCAGAAGGAGAGCTGAATTAACGTTAAACAAAAACGTATCTTTAAAAACCCCACAATATGTTATTCTGTACAGGGTGAGACAGGGAGAGTTTTTGTTTAGAACTACCTAATATTGAGCATTTTCCTTTTGGCAGAGTATGTACTACAGTGAGAATCTCCCATATAAGGCTAGTTTGGCTATTCTCACTTTGACTTCTCAGTTTAGTGAGTGGCCCTGTAAACATGTTGGGTTTTATATTAAAACGATAGCATTTAAGCAAGTGATGATTTAACCCTTTGTGCCCATATTATCATTTCAAAGAAGAGCCAGTTCAAGGGACTTGGGAAAAAGTTTCAACAAATTAGACTATTTTCAACTCATTCATTTTAGCCTAAATTTGACCATATAGTTCTTAAGACACCACACATTACTGTTTAGTAAATACAAACAGAGTGTTCAGGAATGTATTGCAAAAACCCTGGAACAGAATGCTGAGTGTGCTCTCTATCACAGAATGCTGAGTGTGCTCTCTATCACAGAATGCTGAGTGCGTTCTATCACAGAATGCTTAATGCTCTCTATCACAGAATGCTGAGTGCTCTCTATCACAGAATGCTGAGTGCGTTCTATCACAGAATGCTTAATGCTCTCTATCACAGAATGCTGAGTGCTCTCTATCACAGAATTCTGATTGCTCTCAATCACAGAATGCTGAGTGCTCTCTATCACAGAATGCTGAGTGCTCTATCACAGAATGCTGAGTGCGCTCTCTATCACAGAATGCTGAGTGCTCTATCACAGAATGCTGAGTGCTCTCTATCACAGAATGCTGAGTGCGCTCTATTACAGAATGCTGAGTGCTCTCTATCACAGAATGCTTAATGCTCTCTATCACAGAATGCTGAGTGCTCTCTCTATCACAGAATGCTGAGTGTGCTCTATCACAGAATGCTGAATGCGTTCTATCACAGAATGCTGAGTGCTCTCTATCACAAAATGCTGAGTGCGCTCTATCACAGAATGCTGAATGCGTTCTATCACAGAACGCTGAGTGCGCTCTATCACAGAATGCTGAGTGCGCTCTATCACAGAATGTGGAGTGCTCTCAATCACAGAATGCTGAGTGCGCTCTATCACAGAATGTGGAGTGCTCTCAATCACAGAATGCTGAGTGTGTTCTATCACAGAATGCTGAGTGCTCTCTATCACAAAATGCTGAGTGCGCTCTATCACATAATGCTGAGTGCTCTCTCTATCATAGAATGCTGAGTGCGCTCTGTCACAGAATGCTGAGTGCGCTCTATATTACAGAATGCTTAGTGTGCTCTCTATTACAGAATGCTGTGTGCGCTCTGTCACAGAATGCTGAGTGCGCTCTGTCACAGAATGCTGTGTGCGCTCTGTCACAGAATGCTGAGTGCGCTCTGTCAGAGAATGCTGTGTGCGCTCTGTCACAGAATGCTGAGTGCGCTCTGTCAGAGAATGCTGTGTACGCTCTATCACAGAATGCTGAGTGCGCTCTATCACAGAATGCTGAGTGCTCTATCACAGAATGCTGAGTGCGCTCTATCACAGAATGCTGAATGCGCTCTATCATAGAATACTGTGTGCTCTCTATATTACAGAATGCTTAGTGTGCTCTCTATTACAGAATGCTGTGTGCGCTCTATAACAGAATGCTGTGTGCGCCCTGTCACAGAATGCTGAGTGCGCTCTATATTACAGAATGCTGTGTGCGCTCTATCACATAATGCTGAATGCGCTCTATCATAGAATACTGTGTTCTCTTTATATTACAGAATGCTTAGTGTGCTCTATATTACAGAATGCTGTGTGCTGTCTATCACAGAATGCTGTGTGCGCCCTGTCACAGAATGCTGAGTGCGCTCTATCATAGAACGCTGTGTGCGCCCTGTCACAGAATGCTGAGTGCGCTCTATCATAGAACGCTGTGTGCTCTCTATTACAGAATGCTGTGTGTGCTCTATCACAGAATGCTGAATGCGCTCTATCACAGAATGCTGTGTGCTCTCTATTACAGAATGCTGAATGCGCTCTATTACAGAATGCTGAATGCGCTCTATCACAGAATGCTGTGTGCGCTCTATCACAGAATGCTGAATGCGCTCTATCACAGAATGCTGAATGCGCTCTATCATAGAATGCTGTGTGCTCTCTATTACAGAATGCTGAATGCGCTCTATCACAGAATGCTGTGTGCGCTCTGTCACAGAATGCTGTGTGCGCTCTATCACAGAATGCTGAATGCGCTCTATCATAGAATGCTGTGTGCTCTCTATATGATAGAATGTTGTTTGCATCACAGAATTCTCTTCTATAAAACAGAGGGGATTGGGGTAAAAACAGAGGGTATACATTAGAACAATAATATTTATAATATTTATATTTCCCCTTTTTCCATGAATTTAGGACATGACGAAGATTTTGCTTGTTGTATGCATCACGTTGGCCATTTACCAAGATGACTGCTTTGCGAAATTATTTGATCGAAACCAAGAATTTGTGGGAGTTACAGGTAACATTGCAGAGAGTTCCTTTTTGTATAATTATGTTTATTTATATGTAAATTTAACAATTCTATAGATGGAGGAGGTTTTTAAGAGGACAGAAAAGCACAGCTGCAGTGAGTGTTTAATAAAGATTTTTTATAGCATTTTTTAATGCATTATCGCCATACTATACTGTTTGCTCTTCATTGTGCAACACAGGGCTCCTAGCACTTGGCAATATTTGTCGTTGTCTGCTCCAGATTGGATGGTGTTACCTTCCTGGGTGTTTTTTTGCTGTTTCAAGCTTCCACCATTGATTCAGTCACTCAATTATTGTGGAAGAGAAGCTATGTAGACAGAGAGAGAGTACAATTCTGTCTCCCCAGCCTATCCCCAGCACAATCCTGTCTCCCCAGCCCATCCCCAGCACAATCCTGTCTCCAGCCTATCCCCAGCACAATCCTGTCTCCCCAGCCCATCCCCAGCACAATCCTGTCTCCACAGCCTATCCCCAGCACCATCCCCAGCACAACTGTGTCTCTACAGCCTATCCCCAGCACAATCCTGTCTCCCCAGCCCATCCCCATCACAATCCTGTCTCCACAGCCCATCCCCAGCACAATTCTGTCTCCCCAGCTCCTCCCAAGTACACTCCTGTCTTCCCAGCACAATTCTGTCTCCCCAGCCCATCCCCAGCACAATCCTGTCTCCCCAGCACAATTCTGTCTCCCAAGCCCAATCTTGTCTCCCCAGCCCATCCCCAGCACAATCCTGTCTCCCCAGCTCCTCCCCAGAACAATTATGTCTCCCCAGCCCATCCCCAGCACAATCCTGTCTCCCCAGCTCCTCCCAAGTACAATCCTGTCTCCCCAGCTCCTCCCAAGTACAATCCTGTCTCCCCAGCTCCTCCCCAGCACAATTCTGTCTCCCCAGCTCCTCCCCAGCATAATTCTGTGCCCCAGCACAATCCTGTCCCCCCACTCCTCCCAAGTACAATCCTGTCTTCCCAGCTCCTCCCCAGCACAATCCTGTCTCCCCAGCTCCTCCCACAGTACAGTTTTATTTCCCCAGCTCAATTCTGTCTCCCCAGCTAATCCCAAGTACAATTCTGTCTCCCCAGCACAATTCTGTCTCCCAAGCCCAATCTTGTCTCCCCAGCCCATCCCCAGCACAATCCTGTCTCCCCATCTCCTCCCCAGCACAATCCTGTCTCCACAGCTCCCCCATGTACAATCCTGTCTCCCCAGCACAATTCTTTCTCCCCAGCCCATCCCCAGCACAATTCTGTCTCCCCAGCTCCTCGCAAGCACAATCCTGTCTCCCCATCTCCTCCCCAGCACAATCCTGTCTCCACAGCTCCCCCATGTACAATCCTGTCTCCCCAGCACAATTCTTTCTCCCCAGCCCATCCCCAGCACAATTCTGTCTCCCCAGCTCCTCGCAAGCACAATCCTGTCTCCCCAGCTCCTCCCAAGTACAATCCTCTCCCCAGCACAATTCTGTCTCCCCAGCCCAATCCTGTCTTCCCAGCCCATCCCCAGCACAATTCTATCTCCCCAGCCCATCCCCAACACAATCCTGTCTCCCCAGCTCCTCTCCTGCGCAATTCTGTCTCCCCACCCAGCCGATCCCCAGCACAATCCTGTCTCCCCAGCCGATCCCCAGCACAATCCTGTCTCCCCAGCTCCTCCCAAGTACAATCCTGTCTTCCCATCTCCTCCCACAGCACAGTTTTGTTTCTCCAGCTCAATTCTGTCTCCCCTGCCAATCCCAAGTACAATTCTATCTCCCCAGCCCATCCCCAGCACAATCCTGTCTCCCCAGCTCCTCTCCTGCGCAATTCTGTCTCCCCACCCAGCCGATCCCCAACACAATCCTGTCTCCCCAGCCGATCCCCAGCACAATCCTGTCTCCCCAGCTCCTCCCAAGTACAATCCTGTCTTCCCATCTCCTCCCACAGCACAGTTTTGTTTCTCCAGCTCAATTCTGTCTCCCCTGCCAATCCCAAGTACAATTCTGTCTCCCCAGCACAATTCTGTCTCCCCAGGTCATCCCAAGTACAATTCTGTATCCATTTTCCTGGGGTCCAGTTTGGATCCTGTAACTGCTGGAGGGACAAGTTAGGCGGTGATGGAGCTCTGACCTCCCTGCTCAGCTCCCTTGTGTGCCTCTCAGTGATGCCAGGGCCGGAGTAACATCATCTTCTGACTATGGCATCACTGCTATTGCCTCCCCCCTGAAAAGTGCTGCCTAAGGCAAATGTTTTGTCAGCCTCGATGTAAATACACCACTGGCCATCAGGGTAAAGTTCTGACCAATTGGTCACAAGGTTGTAGCCAAAACAGTTCCAGGGAGAAAAAGGCTGTGGCCAGTCAACTTTTCGCGAGTTCCTGTATGAATAAAACTGAATGCTCCCCTTCGCTCTTAGTTAGCGAATGCTCCCCTCAGATAAATTAATATTTTCCCCGAAGAGCACTCTCCTGGCTTTCTGTGAGAGGACCAGGCGGCGGTACAAATTCACCGGTGTTTGCAAGTTGAGTAGCCAAAATCAGTTCCACTGCCTGTGTTTGGCAGACAAAATGTCCGTCATTCGGTAAAGCACATGTGTTCGGTCATTTGAATGGTGGTCAGCCAGAGAGAGCACTCAAGTTAACGACTTCTTTTGAAGTTAATGAGCCAGGGGCTGGTCTGGATTCTGGGGGTAAAAGAGGGAAATACAATTCTCAATTCGGGTACAGAAAAGCAAACAGAGAGGGGACCAAATCAGTTGGGCTGGAGGAGAATAAAACAAGTGACGGGTGTTCTGTTAAAACTCTAAATAAACTGCAGATTGAAATACAATTCCCATGATGGTAAGTCAGCATATAAGAAATAAGGAGTGCTATGCCTTTAAATAAATTACATACACTATATGGAGACACCTATTAATTATTGAATTCAGGTGTTTCAATCAGACCGATTGCAAAAGGTGTATAAAATCTAGCATGTAGCGGAATGGAATTTTGCAAGCTACTTTTTATTCCCTATATTGGCTGTCCGTATTCCCCCCCTCCCCCGCCCCGTTACTTTGTGTGTTTTTCCTCGGTTATTTTGTGTGGTTCCTTTTTGGTCATTCGGGAGACTTTAGACGAATGGAATTCATTCGTCTCCCGAATGGGGACCACCCCTGTGCCTCATTAGAAGGTTAACACCAGCCACTTAATTGCGAAACCACGAGGGAAACAATTAATGAGTGCTTCTCCTGGGTGGCCGCCATTTCATATAACCGAATACGTGGCTGAGAGAATGGCGGCCATCTTGTCTCCCGAACAAGGGCAGCAGTACTTAGTCGTCGAGTGCCTGGAACTATTTTCACCTAGGCACTCACACGAGCGGTAAACTGTCGACCACTGCCCGTACCTGTTCCCGACCACCTACACGAACGGCATTTGGGAGATATAAACTACCAAACATGGAAAGCATTCGGAAACTGAAAGCTAGAGATTCCCTTTTATGATTTTCGCACGGGAGCCCCACAAATGGAGACCAGCCAGTAAACACATTTCCCTGGAAATATTTTGGGTTAGCATCTCGTGTCTGGCCGGTCAAAATTTCCACATGGTGGCATCCCCATTCTACCAAACCGATCTGAGTGATTCTTGGATATGTTGGTCACTCAGATCAGGGCTATCAGGGAATGTGCTTTTTGTGGGGTTTCCAGGTAAGATTGTGGGGCTTTGGGGTACATTATACAGGGAGTGCAGAATTATTAGGCAAATGAGTATTTTGACCACATCATCCTCTTTATGCATGTTGTCTTACTCCAAGCTGTATAGGCTCGAAAGCCTACTACCAATTAAGCATATTAGGTGATGTGCATCTCTGTAATGAGAAGGGGTGTGGTCTAATGACATCAACACCCTATATCAGGTGTACATAATTATTAGGCAACCTCCTTTCCTTTGGCAAAATGGGTCAAAAGAAGGACTTGACAGGCTCAGAAAAGTCAAAAATAGTGAGATATCTTGCAGAGGGATGCAGCACTCTTAAAATTGCAAAGCTTCTGAAGCGTGATCATCGAACAATCAAGCGTTTCATTCAAAATAGTCAACAGGGTCGCAAGAAGCGTGTAGTAAAACCAAGGCGCAAAATAACTGCCCATGAACTGAGAAAAGTCAAGCGTGCAGCTGCCACGATGCCACTTGCCACCAGTTTGGCCATATTTCAGAGCTGCAACATCACTGGAGTGCCCAAAAGCACAAGGTGTGCAATACTCAGAGACATGGCCAAGGCAAGAAAGGCTGAAAGACGACCACCACTGAACAAGACACACAAGCTGAAACGTCAAGACTGGGCCAAGAAATATCTCAAGACTGATTTTTCTAAGGTTTTATGGACTGATGAAATGAGAGTGAGTCTTGATGGGCCAGATGGATGGGCCCGTGGCTGGATTGTAAAGGGCAGAGAGCTCCAGTCCAACTCAGACACCAGCAAGGTGGAGGTGGAGTACTGGTTTGGGCTGGTATCATCAAAGATGAGCTTGTGGGGCCTTTTTGGGTTGAGGATGG